GTCCTCCTGACTCTGTTTTGCCCCCCCCCCCCCCCCCCCCCCCCCCCGCAGGAACCTCCACTGACGTGAGCCGGTACGCGGGTCAGTATGAACACGTGTTCGAGGCCACGACAGCGGGAGTCACCCTGCAGGCGCCTCAGCTGGACATCAACACTGTGGCTGCAGGAGGGGGGTCCCGGCTATTTTTCAGGTTGAGGAGTTGAAACATTTACAGAAATGCTTGGGTTTTACTTTGATGTAAATCATTTACAGGATTTATTTTCTGAACTCTTGGACAAACTAGACGTTTTCTGATTTTCTAAATCTTTTCAATGCACTTGACTCATGAAGAGTTTTAATTATTATTTTTTTCATAACAGATCAGGGATGTTTGTTGTTGGACCGGAGTCCGCAGGTGCACATCCAGGACCGACCTGCTACAGAAAAGGTGATACTTGTTCCACTTCTTTGAGCCCCTAGTCACATAAATAAAAAAACTCAGCAGCTGCACTGTGGTGTTTTTATCTCACAGTGATTCCATCTGTTTGTTTAATCACTTTTTGTTGTTTCGTCTTCATGCTGTGAGAAAAAAAAACCTCAGACATTGAGCTGGGATTTGGGCCTCTCAGCCTCCTCTAGGTTAACCTCTCGAGCCCCATGCAAAACAACTTTTTCCGTTTTCTATTTCTTTTAAGTTCTTTTAACTTAAAATCTGTCTGTTGAACCTGGACATGATTGGTATCAAAAAAAAAAAACTAAGAATCTTGGCTGAAAGCACACAAAAGTTTTTTTTCACTTGATTTTGAGAGAATATGATCCACCTGAAGTCAAATATAATTTCTCATTATTTTATATAATATATATGGTGACAAATAAATGTTAAGATAATTATTCAAAAGAACAAACATTCAATAACAAGTCTTAAGGCAAGTAAGAAATATAAACAAGTTTTGGATGTAAAAACTAAAGATTTCTTAACATTTATTAATGATACCATTATGGTCTGTCCTGTGAAGAATGACAAAATGCAAAATTATATCTTTACTAAAACCTCTGTAACTT